CTAAAAAAAAAAAAAAAAAAAAGAGGGCTTTCCCAGAGGCATTCCTGACACCCAGGAGCCCAGTCCCGGAGTGGGGCCCAGCAGCCTCTTAAGGCTGATGCTGGGGAGTCGGGTGCAGGAGGAACAAAGTGAGGGAGCTTGGACAGGCGGGGCTGTATTTCTCGCTTTCTTGACCGTCGCTGTTATCGGTGTTGAGAGGGTGCTGAGCCAGCACGTGCTGCGGGGCCCAGGGTGACCAGGGGTGCAGATCGGCCGGTGTCACTCTTAGGCAGCATTTGCAACATAGTAAGAGCTTTCCAGGAATCCAACCGCATCTCGCTCTCTGCTGCTCCTCCCTGTCACATTACTACTTCATCAAGTTCTTCATTATCCAAAAGCATCCGAACACGTCTGGGAGCAGCACCTCGATAATCTCCTAGAGACGCCCACTTGGAAATCGCGTCCCATCACACTCACTTAATAAAACCGTTTATCACCGAGCACCAAACTCAAATATGGCGACTGTAATTACAGTGATTATTAGGCGGAGAATACAATATCGGCGAAGTGCCAGCGAAAGAAATAATTACAGAGTGCAGGAGTCATCCGAGAGCTAACGCGGAAAACTCATTAGAGAAAATGTTAAAACATCACCGTAGGTGGTGCCAAGTTTAATCCGTGCGGAACGCGAGCCCCGCTCCCGCACGAAAGCGCCTTCCCGTCTGAGGCGTGGCCAGGATCCGAAACCCGGGGGTCAGGCTGACCCTCGTACGTCCCGGATCTGCCAGCACCCCGAATCTCCCTCCTCTGAAACGCTAGATCTCCCAGGCAGGTAATGGTCACCTGGAGGCATCCTTCTAACCTCCCTGTTTATAGCAACTGGGCCCTGTGGCATCCCTGCGGCTTCTTGGTGTGAAGCCGGTTGTCTTCTAAGGACATGAGAATTTAGTCCGCAGACTCTGGACATGAATATGCTATTGATCTCCACCCTCCCACCATGGTATGAATTTAGGGGAGCACCCTATTGGGGCTCCTACCCATGAGGGATTCTTTAGGTGCTTCCCAGGCTCTCATGAGTTAAAAATAGAATGCTGTGCAGGGCCACTTTCTGGGAAGGTCAAAGGCAGATTTACTGGTCTGAGGGGGGAGCTGGCGTATTGAACATCCACGACGGATGAACCACCGCCGTTATTAGTGGGGTGCAGGACTGCCACCTTCTCCAAAACGTGCTATCTCGTTGATAACTGTTCAAGGTCATTTGTGAGGCTGTAATAAAAGGTGCCAGAGGAAGCAGCAGGGAGCAGGACTCGGGCTGTGCACACCAAGGAGGTCAAAGAGAAGAGCTGTTTTCTTGGGCTGACCACCCCACACACCCACCCCGGGGGGTGTAGGCCCCACCCCACGGCAGAGCCCAGCGAGGCACCTGGATGAAGGGTTTTGTTCAGACCTGACTGCAGTTGTTTTAGCTCCTCGCTCAAGCTATTCCGCCCATAACTTGAGGAAGACTTCAGTCAAGAACGGGGGTGAGGCAGAACATCTCTTTAAAAGTAGAGGTTATCTGCTCAGGAGGAAAGAAAGACACGGGGCACCAATTAAGCCATCCCCGCACGTAGCTCCATCACCGGTGGCCCCTGTCACGGCAGCATGAGAAGCCTCCCTGGGCCCGAGACGGTATCGGAAAATCCGTCAAACACGGGGCTGCAGAGACAGGCAAGAGCTTTCTTCTCCCCGCCTGTGAGGCCCTGCCCGCCCGAGTCCCCGATATCTCCCTTTGAATTAAACGCAGCTGCCTGGCGCCCGGCTCCTCTCCCGGAAGCCCTGGCGACGGGCTCCTTATCACCCCAGCCAGCCAGGACCCGCCAGCAGCGCGCTGCGACGAAATCCCTCTCTGTCAGCTGCACCCTTCCCATCGAAGGCGTCTGTTCTGTTCCCTCTGGGGAAGCAGCTGGGAATTTTTCACCGGGGTGAGGGACTCTATCTCGTTCTATTTTCTTGTAAGGTTTTTTCCTGTGATCTACAGCTGGACTGCTTGGCTGCCTTCAGCTAAAGCTGCAGTGACTTCTCCGTTAGCTTTTCTTGATTCAAGAGGGAGATCAGGGCCCGGGACTAGGAGAGTCCGCGTCCCTCCTTCGTGCGCCCGAACCAGGCTGGGACGGGATCTGCGTTCACGCCACAGCCCAGAGGAAGGGTTCTGCGCTGGCTGTCACCTGGCTCACGTTGTGTGAGTTGCAAGGTGTTGTTTTGTTTTTTTCCATCCTTACCTAACGGACTTTTCCGGGGGTTTAAACTCCAGGATTTATCTTCCATGTGTCAATTTTCTGGCACCTTCATCTGAGAAAGTGTTTATCAGTCACTCTTTGTGAATGAAGGGGATCAGGTCAGCATTTGGCCTCCTGAGCCAATCGCCTCTTTCCTTAAACATCTTTGAACTCGCCGGGTGGTCCACCCACGTCCCACACGTCTGCCCACGGCCTTTGAATGTGAGATGTCTCCTCACGAAAATTAACCATGTCTTCTAGTAATAAGGGGCCTCTCAACAAACATATTCTCATTTGTTATTAAAAATGAAATAGGTACATCTCCCTGGAAACAAGAAACTTTCCCCTTCTTTATTTTTTCCCTAATTTGGGACCAGTTACTAACTATAAAGATAATTAAGGTAAGCCTGACTGGCCGCCCGTCTCCTTAGGAGGTTTTAATTAAAACACCATAATTGGACATTGCCAGAATGAGATTATTAGGTTTATAGCCAGTCCCAAAATTATCATGCCTCTGGTATTTAAATCGAGTTCATTTATATTCTCGCCATAATTGCTCGAGTCCCATTGTCATCACAGCCTGTTGTTGGCGTTTGAGAGGCCAGAGGCCAACAGGGATGTTTAATTTGAATGCTGGAATTAATTTATTTCCACACGCTCACAAGGCCATCGGAGTTTTCGACTCCGTGCTCTCTGCTGGGTGACGTTCTCTTTAAAGACAAAGAAATAAGCGCGTCTCCAGCACGGGGTGCCCGGCCACCCCACCGTGGCTCACACACCGTGCCACCTCCCGAGGCCCCGAGGCTCTGAGGGCCTTCGACCCATGGCAACGGAGGGAGGCATTTGGGCGGCCTGTCTGGCAGCGGGGACGGTAAGAATAGCATCTTGGGCAGTTTGCTTAACCCTCCGATCCGCCTGTTTCCTCATCGGTCTAAGTGGATTAATACCAACAGAGCCTCCATCAGGGGTTTACGAGGATCCAGTGGGATCACATACACACAGCCCGTGACGCAGTATCTGGCACGTAGGAAACACTGTGTAAGCCTTAGCTGCTTGGATGAGAATGGTGGTCATTTTGAGCTTGGCCCCCGCCGTGTCCTTGGGCAAGAACTCTCTCGGGGCTCCAGCTTCCTCACCATCCCCACGGCCCTTTTTGGGCCGAAGTTTAGTGACCTTTGCCCCGCTCATCCGGGCAGAGAAGCGAGGGCCTTTCACTTTCAGTGTCACGATGATCATCCCCATGTGCCAACTCGGAGCACAAAGATGAAGGGGAGGCTGGGCCCGAGCCGCCTCCCTGGTCATCGGGCCGCCTTTCCCGCCTCTCGGGGTGAGAGCGGGAGCTGTGCGGTCAGCAGAGACAGGATACCTGTGCCCCGTCCAGGCTGCGATCGCGGCGCCCTCCCCATGAGAGCTCAGGCTGGGAACGTGCTCCTGCCCTCTCGGTCACTGAGTGCCCCCCTTTCCTCCCGTTGGGCACGGAGGCGGCTCCGGCTCCGGATGGAAGTTCCAGAGCTGCAGTGGCGAAGGAGGAAAGGTGGGCCAGGCCCAGAGGGAGACAGGTGCCTGCCCCCATCCCCATGCGTCTCCCTGTCCTGGACAAGAGCATCCTCCTGCCTCGGTGCAGCAGCCTCTTAGTGCCACCGGGAGGGCTGCAAGGGCAGAGCTCGGGCACCAATTTAAAAAGGAAGACGGCAGAGCAAGGCCACCTGCACTCCCAAGTTCATAGCCGGACACCTGAGGAAGTCAATGCAGGGCTCTGTGTGCTGGCCCAGCATCAGCTCAGATTCAAGGGAGATGAGCGGCAGGCTCGCTCGAGGACAGTGAGGATTCCTGGGCGGCGTGCGGACACGTGATGCAGCGGGAACACACACGTGCATGCGGCAGGCACATGCCCAGACGGTCCCTCCTATGGAAGATGTATAGAGACTCTCCCTATCCTGATATAAAAGCTCCATTCCCAGTCCTCTCCACTTCTCAGCTTGTCATCATAGCATTCGCTGGGTAGAAAGATAGGTGCTTCCTCACTGTGTCCCCTTGGAAAGCCACCGCCCCCTTCCCTAACCCGCCACCCTCATACGTGTGGACAGGAAAGGCTGGGAGTGGTGGACTTGCTGGCAGAGTTGGGTGGAGGGCCTGGGACACCCTGACCATGTAGGTGAGCAAGCTGGCGACGGGGACAGTGGCCTTGGCCAGCACTGAGAGTTGTGGCAGAAGCCTGTGACTTCAGGCTGGAGATGGACAGGAGAGTCCCATCTCCCTACTGTGGCTGATCCTGGCCACCAGAGCCCAGGGCTCTCAGTACTCAGGGGGCCTCCCCCAGCGCCCTTCCCGAAGGATCTCTCACCTCTGTAGCCTGGTGACATTCAGCCCCCACGTCTGCAGGGCTTCTGGGCCAATTGCTCTGACTCCCCCGGGGTGTGTTTATTAAGTCGGTGTTCTGTGCCAAGCCCTGTTTTAGGCACTGGGGGTCTCACAGGATTGAGGCAGACAAGGTCGCCGGCCTGGTAGAACTGACATTCTAGACGCTGTCTGTTCAGAGACAGAGCACCAAGGGGCGGGGCTCTGCCGTCACAGCCCCGAGGCCCAGTGGAAGGGGCTCGGCCCGTCAGGCACCAACCGGGGAGAAAGGTCCCAGGGAGAATGAAGCCAACCTTCCAGCCCGCCTCCAGCCTGCAGTGTTTGTTTCAGCAGCAGAGTGATGTCCTCACCGTGCGAACGCCTGGCTGGGGAGCTGCCAGCGGGATGCTCCGAGGCTATAATTACCTCTCTGAGTAATTAGAGGTGTTGTTAGTGACCTTGTTAAGGAATCTTTTCCACAGCCTTTTTTAAAAAGCCTTGGCAACATCCTTTGAACTGTAGCACACGCTGCCTACCGCGCAGAGCCCCCCGCGAAGGCCAGCGCCTTCCAGAGGACCAAGGCTGCGGCCTGGGTCTGGTTCGAACGGAGCCAACTCCAGCACCGAAGTCCCAGAGAGCGCCTGTGAGAAACTCCATTTCAGAACTTCCTGGCACCCATATGAGCCCTCGAGTATAATGCCTTCCTCCCCCCTTTCTTCCGAAACACCCCAACTAAGTAATGTTGTGACAGATCAAAAGAGGGACAGCCCTCCGATACCTTCCGTCTCAGTGGGTGGACGTGCAGGAGCTCAGGCTGCGGACCTGCGAGGCCCTGACATTTCCCCAGCAGGAAGCACTGGGGTCTGTCCATGGTCCCTGGTGCTGCCATGTGCACTTGCCCCTGGGCCTGAAGGGCCAGGCCTGGCAGTTCTCTTTGGGGAGCATTGTCTGCACTTTAAAAGCCCTGACATCTGAAGTCACACATCCCACCTCCCTGGGATGTGGGTGAGGGCATGGGAGCCTCACCCTCGTAGATCCTCTTTGCCGCCTGCTAAGACAGGTGCCGCCGAAGAGGGAAAGGTGCTGGGAGGTGTCGTACTCCTGCTTTCGTTTTCTAAAGAACAGGAATAGTTGGTCTTTGGACCCAGGAAGACCTTCAGAGGCCTGCAATCCAAAATCCTTATTCCCTAAGATGGTAGCAGAAAAGCTCAGGGGGACACTATGGCTTGCAGACAATCAGTAATAGTATTAATAAGAAAAATAACATTAACAACAGCAAGCAACTAGGCTCTGACTCCGTGCTGTGCACTCCTTTAAATACTTCACGTGCATTAATTTCCTTTACCTTCCCAACAATACCATGCTATGAAATAAGCATTGCTATTTTCCCCCATTATACAGATGGGGAAACTAAGGCACAGGGACAGAAGGATGAGACGACAGAACTTGGATTCACATTGAGGCAGTGGGACTCCAGAGCCCACACTCTCAGCCACACACTCTCTTCTCCCTGGTCTGAGGCTTTGACAGGCTGGCTCTCTAGGTTGCCATTTTCTCAGAAATGTAAAGACTCTCCCAGTTTGGGACAAAGCCAGGGTCACCTCTCTCTCTCTAAGAGAATGAATGTTGCAGTTGGGGATTTTAGTGTAAGTCATCATCTCTCTGGCATTTTCCATGGTCTTCGCTGGATCCACTAATGTGACACTGGAGAGTTTAAGTCCTTGTATCCTAGACAAGAGTATTTTTTTTAAATGTCCAGCTAAGAGGATGCTTTTTAAATGTGTGTGTGTGTGTGTGTGAGAGAGAGAGAGAGAGAGAGAAGGTGGCATTTTTGGAGGGCAAAGTAAACCTTCCAAATTAAGCCACAGGCATCAATTTGAGTCTCTGCAGAAGGACCACCCCCGGGCATGGGGACTATGAGCATGGAGCGCAGACCCTCCACTTTAAGTCTCACTCAGTGTCCGAAGGAGGACGCGCCCCAGGGCCTGTCAGTCAGTCCTCTGACTCAACCGCAATAACTGGACCCACTCGGCTTCCCATACTCAGCTTCTCCTGTGGACAGAGGCCAGACTCAAGTCAGTCTTCCCTGCGGACAGTTTCTGCGTTTCGAGTTTCCCCTCCAGCAAGAGCTCCCAGCCGACGTTTCATGCCCAAGCAGGGAGGTCTGCAGAGCCAGTCTGACCTGGCCTTGCCGTGCCCTTTGCCGTGGGAGGAGGGGTGTGGAAAGACATCAGGATAACCTCGCTGGCCGGATGCAGCATGCGTGGGACACGGTCCTGGGAGGGCCACTGGCTTGACTCTGCCTTTTGGGCCATGACATCCACACTTGAAAAACTAACCTCAGGTTTGAGATTCTTGCCTCGCTTTGAAGACGTAATCACAGCATGCAAACGCACACGATGTCTGTAAAACACTTGAGTTTTGTTCCTGTGTTAGAGTCGACGTGACCACCCCAGGAAGAGGTTACGATTCTGTGGCTCTGAATCTCGAGTTCGTTCGTGATGTGTGTCTGTCAGCATCACCTTCCTGAGTAAGGTCCTCAGATGCCATTTTCTTGGGTTTTTACCACTTTGCTNGAATCTCGAGTTCGTTCGTGATGTGTGTCTGTCAGCATCACCTTCCTGAGTAAGGTTCTCGGATGCCATTTTCTTGGGTTTTTACCACTTTGCTTACATTCTCACTGGTCCTCAACTGAAACAAAATTCAGAGCTGACTCCAAAATATGTAGTGACTTATTTGCCCTTTTTCTAATGCGGTAACTTCCGTTTGCATGTTCTGTGGGCATAAAAGCCGTTTGAAAGCGCCTTGGATGTCGTGGTGGTGACTCAGTGACACTTGGACAACACCAATGCCCCAGATGGGGAAATTCTGCCCCCTTTCCCCTCCCCCTGGTTCTGATAGTGACTCCAGACACTAGAGAAAGGAATGAAGGTGTGTCCATACTCAGCATCCAATCCCAGATAAAGCCCAAACCCTGGTGTTGTCCAGACATTGGGTGCCTGAGACAGCAGTCCCAGTGTCAGCTCTGTGCATATTTCCATGCGTGACTAACTCAGGGAGCAACTCTTTCTCTAAACGACTCGGATGATGGGCTGACAGCAGGTGGAACAATCCAGAAATAGTCAGGTCAAGGTCAGAATCTCTCGTCTTGGCTGACTCTGTAGCCAGTGGCAGCTGTGCCTCCGAGATGAGGGCAGTGTCGGCCAGCGATGATTTTCAGGTACCTCATCAGGGGATGCCGCCTCGTTGGGGAGCTGGCGAAGGGGCGCAGGGGCCCGGGCGGCTCCTGACGCTGACATGAGCTGACCGTTGTGTTCTGGCCCCGCAGGCCCCCACTCGGAGCCTCCAACCTGCAATGCCAACTCCATCTCCTGCCCTTCGGCCTGCACTTGCAGCAATAACATCGTGGACTGTCGGGGGAAGGGCCTGACGGAGATCCCCGCCAACTTGCCAGAGGGCATCGTCGAAATGTAAGTGCCCTGTCTGCCACCCCCTGTCACAGCCAATTCTCCAGCGAGTGGAGCTGACTGTTAAAAACACTCGGGAGTCTCTGTGCTATCCTTCCAGGCTTTCCCAGGAGTGAGAGCCCAGTGGCCAAGAGCGTAGACTCCAAAGCACAGTCAGTAAACTATGGCCCGTGGGCCTAATATGCCCACCGCCTATTTGTGTAAATAAAGTGTATTGGGACACAGCCGCACTCATTTGTTTACAAATCGTCTATGGCTGATCTAGGAAGGCAGGAGTGAGTCGCTATGACAAAGGAGCTTATGCCCCAGCAGCCTAATGTCCTAACTGGTCCTTTATAATGGAATTTTTGCCTATCCCTGTCCTGGAGTCACCCTGTGATTAAATCTTGGCTCCACCGTTTAGTAGCGGGGTGACTTCGGGAAAAATAATTCCTCTTTTTTCATCTTTAGTGTTCTTATTTATAACAATGTGGTCATCGTAGTATTCTCAAAGGGTCACTGTGAAAACTGAATGACATACTGCGTGTAAGGACTTAATACAGCCCTCGGCTCACGGGCAAGTGCTCTGGAAGGTGGTGGTTGTGGGGAGCATGCGAATGATGAACTGATTTTATAGCCGCCCTTATCTGAGCTCTTGGTCATTTCAAATCAGATTATCGCCCTCCAGACTGATCTTCAGGCGGAGACAAGATTGTGCGTGTTTGTGTGTGTGCACTGATGTCCAAATTTCTAGGCGAATGCGTTTGCCCACGGAGCTCAGTCTTGTCCTCTCCTCCCTCACGCCTGAAAAAACGGCCCGAGTCTCATTCTGGATTGAGTAGAGGGTCAGTCAGCACTGGCCCCGAGATCACTCTTGACGTGACAATAATTGTTTTCGCTTTCTGCATTCACCTTTAGGTGGCTTTATTAAAAACACGGTTAGACAAAAACCCTCCACCTGAAAACATCATTAGAGAAAATCCCTCGAAATAAAAGGCACACGTTTCCCTCGCCTGGCTGCTTCATCACCTCCCCGCCCTCCCCCTCGCATGCCCTGTGCTCCCAACACAGTCCAAGAGATGACTCTCGTTCATGCATTCGTGTAACAGCCATCTAGCGTGAGCTCACTGTGTTCCAATCATTGTTCTGTGCTTGGGGAGCATCAACCAGTAGACAGGATTTCTGCTTTTATGGTGCTCACATTCTAGAGTTAAAAACAATAAACAAAGCAAAGTAAATCAGATAACGTGCTAGAAGGTGACAGGTTCTATAGAGGACAGTAAAGCGAGGAAAGGATTTGAAGTACATGAGAAAAAAAAAAACAGGCGACTGTCTGGAGGAAAAGTGTAGCCGGGAGAGACCAGCATGTGCAAAGGCCCTGGGGTAGGAGTGTGCCTGGGGAACCAGAAGGCCAGCGCGGAGTAAACACAAGGGAGAGTGTTAGGGGATGAGGTCAGAGGGTAAGACGGACAGATCGGAGGGGGCATTTTAAGGAGTTTGGCTTCACCCTGATTGAGATGAAAAGAAATCTATGACTTACAACAGTGGAGCTTTCGTTTCTTCTTTCCCCATCTGCTTTGGCAGCTTTTCTCTGATTCCCTTTAACACTTTCTCTCCCAGCCCCCGTGGGTGCAGGCCATGCCTCCACACCCTTCCCCTAGTCAGGAGCTAGTTAGCAAAGTGTCCCTTTGACCTGACATCCACGCCTTCTGTGGCCTTCAACCACCTTCGCCCCGCCCTGCTGGCCTCCTTTCAGCAAGAATCGGCGACGAGCCCCCTTCGTGTTTACCATGACCCTCCTTCGCGCCTGCGGCCCATGGCGCTAGCCCTGAAGATCCCCCCTTTGTGGAATGCCCGTAGGCCTCGCCGCCTCTGCTCACCCGCCCTGCCCATTCTTGCCCTTGCCCGCTTCTCTTTCTGCATTCCTTCCCCTTCTCTCTTTCTCCCTCTCCATTCCTCTCCCCCTTCTCTCCCCACCCCACCCATGGTCTTTCTACTGCTCTTCCCAGCCCCCCTCCTCTCTCCACCCAGCCAGCCCTTTGCTGTTCTCTCTAAGAGCCCTCCCCCTGCCCTGTCCGTCATGCCGGGGTGGACCCTGGCCTTCCCAAGGTGGGTGGATGTTCAGGACAGGATTCCTGCCAACGGTCATGTCATTTCAGATTCCCATAGATCACCCCTCTCTCCCCACCATCTGCCAGGTCTTCCCTTTGGCAGGCACAGATTTTCCCTTGGCCAGGTCTCAAACCACAGCCCGATGGAAGAGGCCAGCCTAGGCGGTCAAGCCATAACCATTGACCCCTGCCCACCCCGACTCAGGAGCTCCGAGCTGCCACCGTCCTCTCCTGCCCCTCATCTCTAAACCTCGGGGGCACACAGCTCAGGTGTCGGAGAGACACTGCAGGTGTCCACGTGGGAGGTAGGGTGATGCAGACCAGGCCATGCCTGGGCTGTCGAGCTTACGTCCAATTTTAAAGGGGAGATTTGCAAGCTGGAGTAGTGACTTCCAAAAGGCTTTCTGATTATTGCTGATTTTTTTCTGAGTTGGGGTACAGTGAGAAAAACAAGACCAACATGATGTTTTTCAATTGAGCAAAAATATTCAATTTAAAGGAGGGTACTTTATTTTAAATTCCTAGACATCCTTATTCTGTTATTGTTGCTATTAAAAACACCCTTTATTTTATAAAATTATGGCCACTGAAAGCAGAATATGTGTGAGCGTGTATGTGTGTGTTAAATATATTTAATTATATGTGTAATTATATAATTATAAACACATATTTCTATATAAATACGTATTATATGTGGCACACAGAGAGAGATTGCCTTAATTGGCAAAATACAAGGTCTTTAATCACCTAGCCTATGAAATCCAAAACTCCGGGAATGACCAACCTAGCAAAAGTGTTTCTAAAAATAAGCCACCGCAAACAACAGCCAGGTTCTTAAGAGCGTAGACCGTGGATTCAGGGAAACCCACGCTCTGTCTGCAACCCTGACTTTTAGCCGTTGGCAAATAACCTTTCTGGGTCTTGGTTTTCTCAACTGAAAAAATGCAGAGGCTAACGGCACCTTCTTAATGATACGTGAGTGGATGCTGTGAAATGCTGAGCACCGGGTCTGGCCCATGAGCTAAACTGCGTTGGCAACAATCGCCGTGACTTTACTGCTACTTTTAGGAGGCATGGTGAGGGGTTAGAAACCATATCATAGGTGCCGGAGCTACCGCACAAGAAGTCCCTCCATAAGCCGGGTCAGTTCTTTGAAGGTTAAGGTGGAGAGAATAGGTTCAAGAGCTGGACTGGCCACTTGCATGATGAACTGAGCCTGGCAGTAGCTCATCTCCATGCAAATATATGCGGACATGCCAATGAGGCTGCCCTGCCTCGGGGCGCCCAGGGCCCCCCAGACAGGCCGCCCCGCTTCCCGGGTNTACGGGGTCCTGGAGAGAGGGTTCCGAGGGGGAAACCGGCTTGTTCCTAAAGGCAGCCAAGCCCGTGCCCGGGGACCTGTGTGTTGGCTCAAAAGTCTTTCAAGCTGCTGAAATGCATCGTCTCTGCAGTGCGAGGAGACCAGCAGATGGGGGAGGCTGGCAGGTGAGGGAAAGGGGCGCAACGAGTGAGACTGCAGGCTGCACCCCAGGATGGGTAGGAAGTGTCTGCCTTATCAAGCCAGTCAGCCGAATGTGACTTTTTCTATCAAGCGTCCCGCCTCCTGTTGATAGCCACCCATTCAACCCGCATTTCTCCTTTCTCCCTGGGGATGCGCGGCGCCAAGTCAGACTCCATACTCCCTACGCGCAGTTCGCAGCTAGTGGTGATGCCCTGAACCCGGGAGGGTTCTGCGCTCCCCCACATTTGGGGTGGGGGGAGGCTATCGCTCATGCAAAGCAATCTGGCAGGCTCTTTCAGATTCTTTTCAAAGCCAGAGCAGCTCGGAGGAGCATGTTCTGGTCTCCCCACACGGCAGAGCCAGTTCCTCTAAAAATAGCTTTCTTCCCGAGAACCCACGGTGAGACGGCTCGCCGCAGATTTTCCTCGAAACCGAGCTCCCATCCGCGGGACTGTTCCCGCCGCTCCTCAGCGTTTCTCTGAACCAGCTCCAGCCTCCAGCAGGGATGGGTTCTGGGAAGAGCCAGAGGCCCCCATGTTCCTCTCTTCTGTCGTCTTCAGTCCGCCCCCCCCCCGGGCCCTCGAGGCTGCAGAGGGACCATCTGTCCTTGAAGCCCCATCTCAGTCTCTGTCCCGCCTTCTTCCATGTTCGCTCCATACCCCACACAGGGTCAGCCACTGTCTCGCGCCCCCCGCCAGGGCAGGTGGGTGTATGCGGTGGAGACCGGCTGGGATGGGCTTAAGGGCCAAGTCAAAATGAAAGCATCTAGGGGGAAAGTCACCCCGCTTTTCACCCAGCCGCACCTCAACCCTGCTGTTGACCTGGGGTGGGGAGACAGCCGCTTAGCAGAAGCAAATATCCCCCCCCCAGCCACCACCCATTATACTGGTCAGCGGGGATCTGAGAGAGAGAGAACTGAAAATCAGAACCCAGAGAGCAGCCAGCAGAGCAAACGGGCCGAAGGGCTCTGGGGCCCCCTGACATCGGTGATCCGAAGAC